AGCGCTCCCGCCGAGGGTTCAGATCCCATATAGAGACCAGTCTGCTCACTGGTTGAGCGCGGTGCGGGCGCGACACCGAGGGTTGCGATCCCGTTGCCGGTCGCGGTATGGGCACGACACTGAGGGTTGCGATCCCGTTACCGGTCATGAAAAAAGACAGAAAGAAAAAAAAAAAAGAAAATTCAGTGCTGTGCAACCATCACCACTATCCAATTCCCGAATATTGTCATCACCCAAAGAAAGAAGCTCTGTACCTATTTAGTATTCAGTCCCAATTCCCCCTCCCCTGTTCCCTGGAAACTACTGATCTACTTTCTGTTTGGATTTATCTATTCAGGACATTTTATAAAATAAAATCATATAATATGTAGCTTTTAAAAAAGATGTGGCTTCTTTGACTTAGTATGTTTTCAAGGTTCAACCCTGTGTCAGTGCTTCATCCCTTTTTATGGCTGAACAATATTCCTGTGTATGGTTATACCATAATTTGCTTAATTATTTATCAGATGGACATTTAGGTTGTTTCTACTTTTTGACTATTACGAGTAGTGCTGCTAGGAAGATTCATGTACAAGTTTTTGTGTGAATATATATTTTTATTTCTTTTGGGTATATACCCAGGAATGGAATTGGCTGAATCATATGTTTGACCATTTGAGGAACTGCCAACCTGTTTCCCAAAGTGTCTACACCATTTAAAGTTCCACAAGCAATGTATGAGAGTTTCAGTTTCTCTATAATCTTACCAACACATGTTATTGTCTGCCTTTGATTATAGCCATCCTGACGGGTGTGAAGTGTAGTATCTCATTGTGGTTCTGAGGATTTATATTTTCCTAAGGAGTAATGATGTTGAACATCTTCTCATGTGATTAGCCATTTGTATGTCATCTTTGGAGAAATGTTTATTCAAATCCTTTGACCATTTTAAATTACATTGTGTGTCTTTTCATCGATATGTAATAGTTTATGTATATTCTGTGTACTAGACCCTTAACACATAGATGATTTTCAAATATTATATCCCATTGAGTGATGTCTTTTCACTTTCTTATTAGTATTGTTCGACTTACAAAGTTTTTAATTTTGATTGTGGTCCTTTTTGTCTAGTTTTTCTTTTGGTTGCTTGTGCTTTGGGTGTCATACCTAAGAAACTATTGCCTAACCCAAGGTCATGCCAATTTATTCCTATATTTTCTACTACGAGTTTTATAATTTTTTTTTAAGCTTTTACATGTAGGTCTTTGATCCATTTTGAGTTAATTTTTGTATTTAGTGTGAGTGAAGGGCCCACCTTTATTCTTCTGCATGTAGTTAGCCAGTTGTCCCTGCATCATTTGTTGAAAAGACTATTCTTTCCCCTACTGAATGGTCTTAGAACCCTTGTTAAAATCCATTGACCATACAAGTATGGGTTTATTTTTGGACTCTGAATTGTCCCATTGGTCTGTATGTCTATGCCAGTACCATACTGTCTTGATTACTTTGTAGTAAGTTTTGAAATCAGGATATTTGGGTCCTACTCAACTTGATCATTTTAAAGACTGTTACTCCACTTGTTCATTTTCAAGACTGTTTTGGCTATTTGGGGTCCTTTGCATTTTCATATAAATTTTACAATCAGGTTGTTGCTTCTCAAAAAAAGGCAGAATTTTGATGGGGAATACATTGAATCTGCATATATTTGGGGAGTACTGCCATCTTAATATTATCTTCCAATCCATGGGAAGATGGGGTGTTTTTCTGCTAATTTAGATCTTCAGTTACTTTCAACAGTATTTATTGTTTTCAGTGTATAACTCTTGTACTTTTTTGGTTAAATTTATTCCTAAGTATGTTATTCTTTTAGATGCTCTTGTAAATGGAATTGTTTTCTTAATTTTATTTTCAGATTGTTCATTGCTTCTTTTAGACTGTAAGCATAGATTTTGAAAGTTATACTTTGTTCTTCTGTATCTATAAAAGGAAAAAAAATTCAAATGCCCAAGGTATTCCCAGAACTTCTTTATGTTCAGAGTCCATCTCTTCTGAATTATTTTTTGAATTAAAACTGTCAGTGACCATGTCTTTCCTCACAGTAGCATTCTCTGTGCCAACAGTGAACCATTTCCTCAAACAATACTCCACTGTTGTAGGAATTTTCTTTCAAGCTGCCAATAAGCATCCTGCACATTTTTATGCAGGCACTGTCCTATTTGTCTAAGTTATAGTTTCATTTTCTTGATCAGTAAAATCAGATTCTTCTGGAAGTTAAACAGCTTCTCTTCCAAGGCCATAGGAATTTTTTTAAAAATTGATCTTTGATATCTTAAAAATCTTTCATGATGAATGAATCAGTCACACCAATTGCATGTTGCCTCAAAATTTCTTTCTTCTGCCCCAGTTACATCTTGGCATGTGATAAGCAACTCTTTTGCATATGTCACTTCATCTACTTGCAGAGTATTTTCACTTTCTTAAAGATTTCTTTTTACAATCACTTTGCATTTTTTTTTTAAGAAAATACGAATTGCAGTAATTCCTGTAATGATGAATATTTGCTTCAGTGATATGAAATGTACTTCCAGCTATCTGTTTTCATGCTTTTCTGTGAACAAATAACTTTTCATTTTAAGGCCAAGTTATAATGTTTTTAAAGGTATTTTAAGCAGCATGTAAACCTGGCTCTCGTAATACCAATCACACAAGTAACTCAATTAAAGTGATAAATTAACATGAATACCTGTGACCAAGTTAACACACGTACATGCAAAAGCAACTGTCACAACTCCCTCCTGGCCAACTACAACAGACATTGGTTCCAGTAGTTTGAAATTTTATTGCATTAATTAAGTGATAACCACACCTTTTGTCTAAAACCACTGTTCACAAAAAGGTGACATGGTCCTTACACAACAGTTTAATATAAAATTTTTTCTTTTATTTATGGGTTTATGATGGAGCCTAAAGAATTTCTTTAGGCATTCCTTAAAATTATGATACATATTCACTGACCCTCCCTGTCCCCATCGACTCCCTCCTTCTCACCCCAAACTTCTCTTCCTTAGAGTTGGTGATCTCACCATTCTCCTATAGTTCTAAAAACCTACTGAGTCATTCATGGCTACTCCCACTTAACAGTGAATTTCATTATAAATTTCATTACTTTTTTGAGGCAGATTCAATGGAAAGGTCCCTTTTTTATTATTAAAAACATTAAACTGAAAACTGGCTCAGTTTTGGATAGAGTTCTTACAGTAATTTAACTGACATATGCTTTATTTGTTGCATTGTGTAAATTATCTTCTGTGAAACGTGAACCCAGATCTTAATTGCATACTGCTTCTCCTGTTTCTAAAGAGTCACACACATTAAAAAAAATCACTAATTGTATGACAGTGTTAGAACACTGCAGGCCTGTAAAAGAGATTTTAAGGCCCCCTAGGGAAAAACATTTTGATGAAAAAATTGGGGGTAATGAAAATTTTGGAAATAGTGGTGATGGTTGCACAATACTGTTTATGTAATTAGTGTCCCTGAATTTTACATTCAGAAATGGTTAAAATAGTAAATTACATGTTTTATATATATGTATTTATCACAGTAAAAAAATAGTTATATACATATACATGTATACATAATTAGCAGTAAATCTCTTTAAAAGATCCAGGGCCAGTATTTGAAGAGGAAATCTGGAGAGACTATCCAAACAGTTGAGTCCTTGGAGCATTTAGCAAGAACTCCAGAGTGTTGATTTTATCCTGAAATGAGTCCTGATCTTAAATATTAAAAGGTTCTTAGAATATCTATACCTTTTGATCCCAACATATGATCAACATTTCAAATCTGACTGTAACAACTGCTCTTCCATATCTTTTCCTAACACTGTTGTATTTTCCTGGTCAGCAAAACTATGATGTTAGCACAGCCACTCATCTTTTGTTATCTGTTCCCATTTTACAAAGGAAAGAAAAGGCTCAAAGATGATGCCTTGCCTAAGATCACAAAGCTAAAAAGGACATAGGAGCCATACTGAGTCCCAGTGCATTTCCACTGAATCATCATTCATTAATTATATAGTTATTTAATGAGCATCTACGGTGTGCTAGGCACTGGGAATATAATAAACAAAGACCATGTCCTTTCTCAAAAAGTTTACAGGTTAATAAAGGAGAGAGAAATTCCACAATTACCACACATTATGACAAAGTGGGGCAAGTACAAAGGACTATGGGAATAATTCAGAGGGGCTGTTTGAAACAATGTAAAATATTTAAAAACATCTGATGTCTAGTTCAGCTTACACTTCTACAACTACCTGAGTAACACCTAAATTTTCCATCTTTGTAAACCTTGTAATTTTCAAAGACCTTAGCCTTTCACAGCCCCCAGCCAGCCACTTATAGCTGGTATTTGCACATTGTGGGTTGAAAAATACTCAGCTCTATAAAGAACTTATTTTATCTCAGCTGTGGAAACAGACCTTGTACCATTCTTCCTTCATGGATCTACTGAAGTCCAACACTTAACAAAGTTCCTGATACATAGTAGATTCTGAATAATTGTTTAAAAAGTAAGTTTCCCAAATCAAGCCTTCATATTGAATTGGGGGATCCAATCTGACAAGGATCAACATGCTTCTAATGCATTACTTTACCTAAGTATGGATTTTCTGGTATTTCTGTGGCCTGGGCACTGTTTCTGTTATTCGGTTTAGTTTATTATTATCCTTTACTAACCAAACCTGTTCTCCAAAAAAGGTAAACTTTTAATTTTTGCACGAAAACATGGTATCTCAAACTTTCACATCTAGAACTTTTATGAGAAGCATGAATAATCTTGTGTAATGTTTTTTAAGGGTGGTGTTGAAACTGCTGAAAGGTCAAACATGTTGAGTTACAGATCTTTGACTTCATAGATATATTTGCAATATCTTATAAAGTATGGAGGTTTCTAGTGGTTTTAGGATCTTACTGGTATTTTTTAAGGGCAATTAATTGTTATTTTATCCTAATTTTCAGGTAAAGAAGATACTCCCTCATTACTTGGTCTGTGTGGGTCTCTAACATCAGTGGCAAGTTACAAGTCTCTAACTAGTCTAAAATCTAATGACTACCTTGCAAGCCCTACAACAGAGATGACAAGTCCAGGCCTAACTCCATCGTGAACATTTTTATGTAAAAGCCAAAAGTTTTTATGTTGTAAATGTTCAACGTACATAAGTTTGACTGCTGGGAAGACCTTTGAAATTTTTTATTGTTCTGGTACATGTCTGGAATTTTATTGCTTAGAGAGTTCAGTTTACTCCATGTAAACTTCTAAGTGAAAATCATAATGATCCTGCTATTTTTCATTTTAAAAATTCTTATATTTATCATTGAGGAAGTTTAAAAATAGGCTTTAAAAAACTTCCAAAGATCCCCCAAATGAATAATTCATTGCAAATTGTACATATTTATTATTCAGCTGATTTTTATATATTTGTTTAAATGTATCTTAGTGGCCAGAGACTGAGTTCAAGGTTTTATTCCAGAGACTCAAGCCATGTATTTTCTTTCAGTCTTTTATTCAGTGATTAAATTTTCAAAAAAGGATGGCTTATTAATTTCATTTTTCCATTAATTTCTTCCTCAGTTCTAATGTTTAAATGCCTTGTTTTTAATATTAGGGGATGGGTCTCAGCTGTACTTTCAGTGGCTTATTCAGCTTTTCTTTAACATTTATCATGTGGTATCAACTTAATATTCCACTTAACATTTTATAAATTTTGTAGGAATGTGCCTTTTAAGGCAGTTACAGACTTAATTTGTAAGGGTAATAGGAAAAGTATTTTATAGTATTTAAGACTGTTTAGGTAAAAGGAATAAATTTATCTTTGTTTTCCAAAGATTTTCTTAAAAGGTTATCAATTTAAAAATATGATCAGTTGGAAACATTTTTAAATGTAGAACAAATGTTGAAAAATTATCAGGAAAGATTTCAAGTTCAATTAAAGATTTGAGAAGCTTTTAAACAAGGATCAATCGGGTAATCACCATACTTAATAATATATATATATATATATATGTCTAACATACAGTGCTGTTTTTTCTCCCTTGTGTACAGCAGCAATGAATTGCATCATGTGTGTCTTACATCCTCTATCATTAATCATGCCATAATCTCATTTTGAAACTGATGTTAATGTTAAAAGTCCCTACACTTCTGCAGGTAAATTAGTGTTCTTTTTGCAATTTTGGAAACAGTTACATTCATCACTAAAAATTCCACCACAGTGAAAAATAAAATTAGGTATATTTCTATAGTAAGTAATATGAGGAAAACATGATTAGTTGTGCCAAAGAAGTTTTATATATTGTTTACAAGAGGCCACAGTACTTACTGGGGACTTCATATGGCATTTTTGTTTATTAATAAAACATGACATTTAAGCTTAGTAGCTTTGACACATAGGAGGAATGGTCCTCTTAAAACAGTTTACTTCATTAAGAAGCAGCAAGAAGAGCTGACCTTACCATGTTCATTCTTTGTATTAGAAATGCAGGAATGTAGGTGGTTCTCTGCAATATTTATGTATTTTTTCGGTGACTGGCCTGTACAGGGATCGAAACCCTTGACCTTGGTGTTACAGGTGGCACTAACCAACTGATCTGCAATATTTAGAGTTTAGTCTCATAATTTGGAATTTAAGATAATAAATAGTAATAAGGTCAGTCTTATATGTAAGACAGTCATGACAGTGTCATTTCAGGGACAAAGGGCGCCTGGAAACCCTTAAAGTAAGTTACCTTAGATGTGCCAGAACATACTCAGAGCTTTAGTCCTTCAGCTTAAGGCTTTAATACTAATAGAAATGCAAAATTTCTTGAGAAATGCTTCCTTTAATCTATTCTCAGTTCTGTATACCTTAATGTAAGTGAGGTATCTAAAGCAGTTTTTAATCAGCAGAGGGGATGGAAAGGAGGTATAAAATGAGGACAGTGGAAATTTGGGGAGGAGGGAGTGAGGAATGGATAAGGAAGGGAACTTTGAAAATTTCAGCCTGGCTTTGAACACTATTGCTGCTATCCTAAGAACTGTCAGAATGTTTAAATGCTTCATTATTCATGATCCACTCTCAATTTACATTTATGATCCTTTAGTAATTTTAAAAATTGTTAAATTTTTTCCATACATTTTTATAATGTAGAAGGAAGTTCAAGTTTCCATAATGAAACTTTTCAGACTTGTCTATACAATAACTTGTGCATCTTATGCTGCTAAATGCAGATTTAAACATGACATCTGAGGATCGTGACTTTTCCTCCTTTCTTGGAGCATTTAGTATAAAATTCATCTGCTATTGTGAAATTCAGGTTTCTACACAGTTCATTTCACACTAGTTAGAGGTAGTTTGTTAATGTTTGCATGAGGAAACAATGTGTATCTCAACCTTTAATTTTAGGTGGTAACCCCCCCAAAAAGAATGCTGAATTATATGCCAATATCTCCATATGTGTTTTATTGCCTTGATGTACTATACTTGTTGCATGTATATTAAACATTTTGTACCATGAATCAGTGGTCCTATTTTTTCCTTGACAAAAGTTACCTGATTCAAGGTGTACACTGAACTTTTGTTTCAACAAATATGATACATGTATATTATTTCGTACTTAAAATACTAATATGTAAATGGATTTGGAGAAATACTTATTTTAACTCATATAAAATTATTCTTTATTTTTTAAAAAAATAACATGATATGCTTTAGAATATGCAACATATCTATTGAAATAGTACACTTTAGAAGTGGTTCTGGTAGTGTTATTGATTTAATTATAAATAGCCATTTTGTTTTAATTATATAATTGCCATTTCGTTTTCTCACCTGTGAAACAGAAACATCATCATCTTCTTGGCATCTATGTGATGGCACCAGGATGATGTCAGCATTAAATGAAATCAGGTATATAATTTCTAAGGAGGTAAATGCCGAATGCAAGCTACTAGTAATTATGATTGGCAGAAATCTTCAAAAAACAAGTAAACTAAGTCAATTATTATTTGTCATTTTTATAAGATTTCCATACAAGTTTTCAAGTGGTTATAAATGTGTCTCAAATTCACAACTTATGAAAATATCTTTTGTTAAAGTTGCTATCATTAGGCTAAATGTCCGAATTTTGCTAAACTAACAGATTACTTTGGAAGTGTCACAAGACAGCTTTAAACCTTATGCTTTTTAAAAATTTTTAAATCGTTTCAATTTGTTCTTCTGTAAGCAAAGCAGCTTCTATTTAGCTTTAGCATTTGTTCTTTTCAACTAATAGGAAAGGGAAAATAAAATGGTATCTTTGTTATTATGGCACATTTTAAAAGTATATTATAATACAAACCAAAACTTTTAGATTGTTTTTAAACATGCCAAAGTATTAGACGCCCCATTTTCCATGCTGCCAGTTATCTTTCCAAAACCCAAGTGTAACTGTTACAGCTATGTCAAAAATCTTCCCTTGGTTTCCTACTGCCTTCTTGTTCCTCCTTTGGCACACAAGGCCTCTGGATATATTTCCATTGTCTCCTACCACATTCCCATATACCCACCTTGTGCAAACCACGTGGACTAAATTCCACTGCCTTACTGAGACTCCCACCTCCCTGCATGTTTAATTGGATTGCCTGCCCTTCCTAATCTTAGATTTCCTGACCACTCGTCTGCCCTTGGGCTGAGTAAACAACTCCTCAGATTTCCCATAACTCCCCTTGCATACTTCTGTCTGTCATAGCTCTGAAACCTCCTATGGACAGTGCCAATATCTGAAACGTCTTATATCCAGTGCTTTGTATACTGCCTATCACATAAAAGGTCTCTATAAATATTGACAGATTAAAAAATAAAGGAAGTAATCTTTTATTTAAAAAAATTAAACGCAGGATAAAATAAACACAAAAGGCTACATACATAAAAAGTTCATTTTAGAAAAAAAATTCAAAAGTGATACACTAAACTTTCCCACATCCCTAAAAGCTGTGCCTATGAGAAAGGGAAGGAAGAATTTAATTTTATATTTAAGTAATTAAATGTATATATTAGAAAATTTGACATTAATATTAATAGAATGAAAACTGTTTTAGAAACATTACATTACCAAGAACACTAGTAGAGACTATGTTCACAAATACTGCAATTCTTGCAACATATGTACTGAAAAGACTGGGAAGACCATATGGGTAAAATTTAAATTTATCTACTGATCTGAAGATCTACTGATTTGCGAATACTCATCACTGCCAATTATTGTTCCATTATTTTACAAGACAGAACTCTGAGAGAAAACTAAATTTTAATATTTTAGCTATTCCATGAACTAAGTTTATCCAGGTACACTTTCAATTCAAAAACGAAGTTATTATTACAGCAAAATGCTGAAATAATTTCTAGCAAACCCTTTTTAGTTGCTAATATATTTTAAAAGTATTCATGCTTCTTTACCACTTAAGTATAGAGAAAGTTTCAAATCAGCCTTCCTTTTATCCAGATACATATGTGTTAGAAAATCTACTAGGCAATTAGATTTATTTAACTTATTTTATTCATAAACAAGAATTTTTCTCAAGTGTAGTACTGGGGGTTCAAGGAGATGGAAACCTTTCTGGTATTTATAGGTGATACTAAATTGAAATTTTGTGACTGCTTTTTGAGAATACAGTACTAAGTTTTCCGGCCTTTTTCTACCAATCAATTATCGAAAAGAAGTATAGCAAAACTAAGGTAAATTTAAATTTAATATTGTTAAACAGCGGTGTTCAAGATAAACTTCCATATATATACAGTATGGCATTACATAATGATTTTATATGAAAATATTTAGCTAGAAGCAACTTTAAGATGGCATAAAATATTTTAATGCAAATATAAGAAAGATGTATATTGCAACTTTAAGGTAAATCAACAGGTAAAACAAACACAAAAAGGGCCGGCCCGGTGGCGCACTGGAGAGTGCGCCGCTTGGGAGTGTGGCAGCGCTCCCACCGAGGGTTTGGATCCCATGTGGAGACCGGTTCCCGCTCACTGGCTGAGCATGGTGCGGGTGCAACACCGAGGGTTGCTTTTAATGCAAATATAAGAAAGATGTATATTGCAACTTTAAGGTAAATCAACAGGTAAAACAAACACAAAAAGGGCCGGCCCGGTGGCGCACTGGAGAGTGCGCCGCTTGGGAGTGTGGCAGCGCTCCCACCGAGGGTTTGGATCCCATGTGGAGACCGGTTCCCGCTCACTGGCTGAGCGTGGTGTGGGCGCAACACCGAGGGTTGCAATCCCGTTGCCGGTCCCCGGTATGGGCGCGGCACCGAGGGTTGCGATCCCGTTACCGGTCAGTAAAAAAGACAAAAAGGAAAAAAAAAAAAACACAAAAGGCTACATACACGTCCTATATAGTTTATTTCTGGTGAGACATATAAACACTTTTCTACTGTAATACAAAATGCATTAATCCTCTACTGACACCATAGAAGGCTTTTCACCTAAATATATGAGGGCACTTCAAAAAGTTCATGGAAAGATTCATATTATCTTTCAATTCTATTTTTTTCCATGAACTTTTTGAAATACCCTCATATTACTCTACTTTAGGAGGATAAAATGCTTCACATTTTCATAAAATACACACTAACTGCAATAAAGTTCATTTTCTTATAGGATACAGATCCTGAAAATAACAAACAAAAATATGAATACCATTTCTTAGCCTGCCATAATATCCTTTTTTATCTCATTCCTAAATACAGTCATAAGCTAAATTACTTTGTCATGAACAATGACTGAAACCAATTTTGTCAAGAAAACAGCTGCTTAGGGCTGGTAAGTTAGCTGATTTGGTTAGAGCATGGTGTTATAACCCCAAGGTCAAGGCAACAGCTTCTTGATTAGTCCCCTGGTCTAGCATCTAGCATACTAACGTGAGATGGCATAAAATCAAGGGACATTTTAGAAATATTTTATGACAGTTATCATAGTAATGATCTCTGTCTTGTTAGAACAAGCCAAAAGAAATGATTTAGGGTTGGCCAGTTAGCCCAGTTGGTTAGAGTGTGTATAGTAACATGAAGGTCCAGGGTTTGATCCCTATATTGGCCAGCCACCAAAAAAAAAAAAAAAAAAATTAGACAACTCCATGAACAATGATACTTGGATTAGAAGATGGCTAAAAACCAGAGCCCATTTCTCTGCCAAACTTTATTTTCACTAGTCTAAATACAATGTGGTTTTCCACTGCACACCCAACCTTGACTGAAGTGAACATTCACTACAATCAGTAAAAACTCCCTCTCTTGCAGAAACATCTAATACAGGGTCTTTTAGTAATCAAAAACGGCAGGATTCACATCATACAAAAGATTATATATTTTAGTTCGTAAAGATAAAACAGCCATATCTTTGATCAGAGAAATCCTAATTCATATGAGGCTTCAAAACAATAACATGGCAGAGGGGGGGACCTAATGCATTTGAATTAAAGAAATTAATAGGTAATATTTCCTAAGTGTGAATAATGCTATTTAATGACTGCCTTCTGTCATCGACTGATATACTGAAATACCTACATACATGATTTAAATGTGCGTAGGACTTGGGCTTTTTTCTTTTGGAAGGCAGCTATGCTCACCACTATACCACCAATGCGCTCTTCTTTTGGATTCTGTTCATCATTCAGCACACAATTCAAAAAGTTACCATGTATCTGACACATTCCCAATAAGATTAAGTTACACTGAAATGTATAATACCAAACTCTTAGTGACTGCTTTTGATGCTAATGAGTAATTTTTCTTTTCTTTACAAGAATGCTCAATGGTTGTGGTTTCTGGAATAACTTTTTCAGAATGTCCAAAAATAGGATAAAATTTACTTTAAAATTAGGATTATGATTTACAGGTAAAGTAGAAATTACGATTCATTTAAATGATAGGAAAGACAAAATCATGGTGAGAGAATAATGATGAAAAAAGTTCTTGCCTAAGAGTCTCCATCTTGTTATTTCAAGTTGAAACAGCATCACTATTATTGTTGCCTTTTAACATTTTGTTTCTGGAAAAAAGCTTTTCCAAATTCATATGTACTGATCATAACTGCACAAGCAGGAGCAATTTTAATTAAGCGAGGAATTAGGCCTGAAAAGAGAATAGGAAAAATCAGAACAAATTTACCTTATTTTTTAAAATATAATTTATTTGGCTTCATTCTGATACTGATCAAATTAAAAGAAGTGATATATCAAATTTTGTACCATAAATTTATAGCAAAGAACAGATCAAACTGTTCACTCCTCACTTCAATTCCATATTATATTATATAGAAATTTTACCTTATTGATAGTAAACCTACTGTCATTTAACATTTCTCTTAACATATAGCAAAGATATTTAGAAGAAAATAACAAATGTGGAATGTTACTTGTAACTTACTCCTGAAAGTTAATTTTAGAAGGTGACAGACTTAAAAGTAATAATTCTACTCGATTCAGTAAAGCAAATATTTTTACCTGCAAATAATCCAGAAAATCCATTTTTAGCAACAATGTTCTTCATTATCTCCCAGGTTGACATATGTAAAGGCATAGAAACTAAATATTAAAATAAAGAATAATGCTATTGTAAATCACAACTTAATAATTTCTAATACAGATAATACATATAAGATAGTGTTTACAGCCTTCAGGGGTATATAATTTCATTACAATAAGAACAAATATGTTTACCTCAAGGTCTATTTTAAGATTTATTTTTAATAGTTGGATTAATTAAAAAGAAACAATGGAAGAAGGCTGTAAGTTTAAAGGTGTATAGAAATGAATGCAATAAAGAGGAAAAAATAGAAGGCTTCCCTTGAATTGATGATGTTTGTTTCTTAAGCTTGATGGTACTGATGGTAGTATTCTTTATACTTTTTTCCATGTCTTAAATATACTTTATAATGAAAATTTTAAAGATTTATAAAAAACTTCATGGGATATCTAATGCCAAAGAAAAGTCCTGATAACCATTTCTTATTTAAACTTTATTGTATACAGTTTAAAAAGATTTTTTCTTCCCAAAAAGAAGTTCTGTAGCTCATTTTTCCTAGTGGTGTCCTACTTTATAGATGTGCTAGTCTTGAAATAAATTAGACTAGTGCTATGTCCTCAAAAAGACAGATTTTAGCTAACAGTAACATCCCTCTTATTTGCACCCATTCCAGCAGCTGGAAAAAAGAAAAAAAGAAAAAAACAAAATAAAAAACTAATTTTGTTAATTTGTCACTGAAGTTCAAACATGAAGATTATGAATGAACTGTTCACACAAAGTTAGCTTACCTTCATTTTACACATTGATCTTAAGCAGCTGGATTTTTTAAAAGTCTAATAAGTAGACATATTACCATGTAAACAATATGACAGATGACAAGCTGAAGATTTCAAAGTCTTGGTTTGAGACCAGCTGGATGATGGGCAAACAATCCTATATTACCCCGTCTAGGTTTTGTGAGGTGCATTATAAAACTCTACAATAATCAATGTTTACACTGATGATAACCCTGAGTCATTAAGAAAGATTAAAATATGTACTACTAAGCAAGCCTGGGAAAAGGGGGGGGATTACAGAAAATATCCTTCAAAAATGGCTTTTTAGAATTTTGCCACTTAATGGAGTAGGACTCATTATCTCAAAATTTTATTTATATATAATGTCAGAATCTCTGACTGTAAAGATAATGAGGCCTTGTGATTTTAACAAGCTATATTAACAATATAGTAAACACACTGTAGCAATCCAACAGAAAGAAGTTATTGTAAAACTGTTATATTACAAAGTGCTTATGAATGAAATTTAACTTTCTAAAGAAAGTCAATGACAAGAACTTTATACTACAAGTTGGAAACTTTTACTTCATGTTTAAATGATTTCATTTGCATTTTAGAAACACATGAAAGAAATGAGATCAAGTAGCCAGGTTATTCCTAACCTTGTAGAACTCATATCAGGGTGAAACTACTTTAACATAAAAGAGAATAACAAGGGCCGGCCCGGTGGCGCACTGGATAGTGCGCCGCTTGGGAAGCGCGGCGGCGCTCCCGCCCGAGGGTTCAGATCCCACATACAGACCGGTTCCCGTTCACTGGCTGAGTGGGGCGCGGGAGCAGCGCCGAGGGTTGCAATCCCGTTGCCGGTCCCCGGTCTGGTACGGGGGCAACACTGAGGGTTGTGATCCGTTGCCAGACACGGAAAAAGTCAAAAGACAAAAAAAAAAAAAAAAAAGAGAATAACAAAAAGAGAGTATCAACTGAATGTAAGCCAGGGCCGAGCTCTAGTGGCACCTTAACAGTTCTCCTGCCTAAAGTTTCAACATTATAGAGCTATTCCTACAAGTAATAAGCAACTTCTTAAACATTGTAAAGAAACACTTTTATTAAATATTTCAGGCATACAGAAAAGCACAGAAAATAATAAACACTCACTGACCATCCAAATTTGTTAAATTGTAACAAGTGTATATTTCAGATACAACTGAAGCCCTCTATATATTCCTC